ATTATCGAAATTGATCACATTTTCCTACTGGCCGTACGTAACACTTTTACGGAATAGAGTTGCTGGTGATTTGTGGTGCAAACCAGAACAATACGTAACTGTTGCTTTCCTTTTGTCTCTCGTATAATTATATAATGAAATTACAAACCAATTATTCATGACAACGTCGCTGAGTCAAAAGTTTTATTTTCAAAAGTTGGTTTTCGAAAACCCATGAGGCAAGCAACTAAGAATACATGGACAAACTATAGATCGTCAACGTTACGAACCACAAAATCTAGACACATTACATGTTTAACGTGTAAGAAGCGTGAGAGGAGAAACAGATCGGCAGTAACAATTCGGCTGGCGACAACGACACCTTGTATAACATCACGCGACAGACGAAGCGACACGTCAATCACAATAGCGCCAATCATTGATTTTATCCACGACGTACAATATCAAGCGGCAACACCATTACGAGATATGCACAATATGTCTATATGCTTTTCTAACAGCAGCAGACCGATTTTTTTTTAAATTTAACAAAATCAGTACAACCGCGCTATTGCGCAGACTAGAACAAGATCTTATCGCCTGGTACCATCTGAGAAGAAAACGCCACCATCCAGAGCACAGTACTTGGGGCAAATACCCTTTTCGCCAGGAGGACCTTCCGGACCACGTGGGCCTGGCTTGCCTGGAGCACCATCGGGACCTGCATCGCCTGGCGGTCCAGGTGGGCCTTTCATACCGATCATGCCCGGTTCGCCGGGAGCACCAGGTTTGCCAGGAGGACCACGTGGACCGGGTGGACCTGGGTCACCAGAAGGACCAGCGTCGCCAGGAAGAGCCGGTATTGAGATAGCGTCTTGTCCAGGCTCACCGCGTTCTCCGTCCTTTCCGTCTTCGCCAGGTGGACCCCGTGGTCCTGGAGGTCCATGTGGTCCAGCGCTGCCGAATTTGCCGTCGATTCCAGCGGGGCCAGATGGTCCGGGATTTCCTACATGTTTCGCACTTAGACATTAATGCGCGACAGACAGGTGAACATTATTTCATTACCAGGTTCTCCGTCGGGTCCAGGAGGACCGGGAGGTCCTTGTGGGCAAGGATCACAAGGAGGTGGAGATGG